TTTTTTTTTTTTTTTCTTTTAGGTACTGGGGATTGAACTCGAATTTGGGCTTGCAAGGCAGTGGCTGAACCACTGAGCTAAATCCCCAGCTTGTGTAGTCTTAACTTCTGCTTCTTAGGACTCTAACTAGCCTGTAGCCAGGCTAATCCTCTTTTATCTGACAGACTGTCCCCTACAGGATTGGGGGTGGGGAGAGATAAGGGAGGTTGGGACTCAGGGAAACCTAGCCAGGTCTGTGCTCACTGAATATCTAGAAGCCAATTTGTGTTCATTCTGTCTCCTTTCCTTCTTTCACTAGCCTTGGCTTTTCAAGCCCACCTCTTCTTTAAACCTGGCTAGGCATTGTTAAGCACCATAGGACCCTATGTTGTCTTTTACTGATTGCCCCTGCTCTGTCCACCGGTATTTTCACCTGTGGTTCTGTACTCATTTCACTTAATACTGCACATGTTTTGTGGACAGTCATTTACTCCTACGGTTTTATTTATTTTTTGCAGTACCGGGGATTGAACTCAGGACCTTGAGCTTGCAAGGCAGGCGTCGTGCCACTGAGCTACATCTCCAGCCCTCCTAAGGCTTTAATTACTTCCCACATACTCACGATGGTGCATTTTCAAGTATAGATCGGTTAGCCAGACTTGGCTTCATTGCAGCCTGGCTCAGCTTCCCATTAGAGATGCCTCTGGGTACCTTGAGCAAACTACTTCACAGAGGTTCAGCTTCCTCTTTTGTGAAGTGAGGCTAATGAAAATGTTAACTAGGGCATAGGAATGCATACATTATTTAGAAATTTGTGGGAAAGTACTTAATACTTGCCATTTAAACACTGAAATATGATTTTATTATCTTGTGGTTTTTGTTCTCTTCCAAGAGTTTAAACTCATAACTGTCTACCTTTCTAACCCTGATTAACTTGCCCAAACTTGAAATCCTGTGTCTTCTTTTTTCAGTTTATTTTTTGGATTGATACTATCTACCCACCACAGTCAGGGACTTGCTTCCTCTAAGACACCTCCTTCTTTCTGCCTGTTTTTTAAATAATCAACAAGGTCTTCCCCTCTTTTATCACCATCACTAGACTTAGTTTTGACTAGTATTTTATCTGGAGACAAGGCACTAAGAATCAATGGTGATGCTCAGGCTGCAAAAGTTATAGTAAGAAAGGAAGTTCTTAAATGAATTTTTTTCTCATTCTGACTTGATAAATAGTACAAAATTTATTTATTTTGAAAGAACATTGTTATGGGTACCCGGGCTATATATTCAAAAGTTTAAAATGATACTTTATCAAGCTCCCTCGGTCAGGTAATTTATGCCTGTAATTTTCCTCCAAGACCTATCAGGAAATTAAAATCAAGCTGGAAGATATATACAAATCTCAGATGACCTAGACTTGTCTCTCACTTCAAAATAGAGTGATGATTGTGTCCTCTCCAGAACAAAGACTCAAGTAGGGTATCATTCTGTAAAAGAAAACTCCCTTGTTTTTCTGTGGATGAGTTCTGTGCTGATGCCCATAAGATGCTGATATTGGTGTTCTTAGCCACCTAAATTTGATTAACTACTGGTCCAATTTAGAATCTTATTTCTTTGGTCTATCTTTGATATCTAGGTATAGCAGCAGTGAATACCTATCTAATAAATGAGTCAGTGTATTAGGAAAGCCAGGGGCAAAGCCCTCACATCTACTCTACTCCTTGCCCTTAACTTGAAATCTTCCCACTTCGTTTCCATATTGACTTAAAAGATACTAAAATTTTCTCCCAGGGTCTGTATTTTCCCTTAATTAAGCAGATTACATAAACCTGTATTTGCTTGAGTCCATGCCTTGGACCATGTGTGATGGATTTCAATCCTGTCACCAGAGTCCACATAAGACCCTGTAAATGGTACCCTCTCAAATAAAAACCCTTCAGATTCTCCAGTCCCCTCATTTCCTTATTATATCTTTAACAGCAGTTAATTGAGTTGACCTCGGTGGGAGCACTTCAAGCAGGGCTTCCCCAGCTCTCCCAAACGAAGAGCTCGCTCACCAGGTCATTCTAACTAACATGAGTTAGGCGACCTACCCATTTTGAAATCAGAACCGATGTTGTCAGAGTTACTTTTATTTAATAATAAAATGCTTCTTTTTCCTCTGTGTCCCTCTAGTATCATCCCAGCTTATCCTTCACAGACAAGCTTTTTTATAGAAGTGTCTATCAAGGTATTTCCACTTCCTTTCATCCTATTGTGCTGGAAATTAAAGTACACTAGCTTCATTCCCTACCACTCTAGTATAACAGCTCACATCAAGGTTATCAGAGACTTCTTTGTTGCTGTGCCAATAAGTTGCTCTCAGTTCTTTAATACTTGACCTCTAGCAGCATCTGCAAATCATATTCCTGAAAATTTCTGAGTTGTGATTTTTCTGCTTCTCAGTATCCTCTGTGGGCTGTTCCATTCATCTTCTACATTAATTTTTTCAAAGCTTTATTGTAGTCTCTCTTCTCCCTCTCCAATTTCAATGGTGGTTTTACCCGCCTTGCCCTGAAGTCCAGGCTACCAAGTAGGTGGTAGTGTGCAGATGCTGTGCTCCAGATGTACACAAAACACATGCCAAACACGTGCTTAGTTATAAGTCCCTCGGACTCACTATCCATGGTTAAACAGAGCCATCTTCAGAGTTTTCTCCCCTTCCTGTGCACTCCAAATCAGTAAATAGTACTCAACCTACCAAATCGGTCAAGCCAACAACCAGAACTTAACTCCTTTTTCTTGACAACTAATTTCTCTCCATGTCTTAGAGATCTACCTTCCCTCTTTGATATGTTCAGATCTGTATTTTTTCTCTAGCGCCGTTGTTACTGTCTTAATTAAGGTCATTGTCTAACCTGGATTATTACAGCATCCTTCCAGTGGATCTCGCTGCTTTAAGACATAAACCTCACTAATCCATTTTCCACCCAGAAGCCAGAACTGTTTCTGAAATGCAAATCAAATCCTGTCACTCCTCTGCTTAGTTCTTCTAACACTTCATCGTTTCAAGATGTCTTACATGTTAGCATGTCTTACAAGTTCCTTTATTTCCTCTTCTTCTTTACTCATTACTATGCCTATCATTTCATCCATTTAATAGCAAGTAGTTACTGAGCGCCTCCTGTGTTCCATGCTGAACATGAGGGCAGGGGATAGTGAGGGTACACTGGTAACAGTGCAGATGTGGTCCCTGCCTTAAGGAACATTCAGTCTAATGAGACACTGGACTCAAGTTACATAACTACAGCGATAAAGTAAGCTAAATTAGAAATATAATCCTGCCTCCTTAAGTAGGATGCTCCTAAAGCACCTCGTTATTTTTCATTTACTTTTTCAGAAGCTCAGATGTTGCAAATATATTTGTGACTTACACAGAAAGTTCTCTAAGGAACAACATTGTCACAGCAAGCAGTTGCCCCGAGGCGATTTTTAACATCTTGATATTTTTTGTATGCTTTAATAAAAGGCATCACACTCCCCAAACTGGACATTATTAATCTGATCACTAGGCAGTTTTTCTTATCAGCAACTAAATTGATCAGTAACATTTCATTCATAGAAAGGAAAGAGTGAGTCTTAGGGAGAAGAACTAGAGACCCTTGCTAATAACTTCATCTCTGCAAAGCATGATTTGGGAGGTGGCCCAGCCAGGAAAGGCCCTCAGACTCCAGGCATCCTTATTTTCCTACTAATATTTCTTTTTTTTTTTTTGGTTTTTTTGAGTCAGGGTCTCACTAGACTGACCTGGAACTCACTCTGTAGCCCAGGCTGGTCTCAAACTCACAGCAATCCTTCTGCCTCAGCCTCCCGCGTGCTGGGATTACAGGCATTCATCACCATGCCCAGCTCCCTACTAATATTTCTTAGGGCAGTGGTGGTGGAGGGAGAGGGAGGACATATTCATTGGTAATGAAACTAATGTTTAACAAATAGTTCTTTATTACATAAATCCTAGCTGGGACCTCTGTCCTACTTTCCCCTTGTCTGTCTCTAGGGGGTAGAGTATTTTCCCGCCTTACTGTTTATAGAGCTGTATATCGTTAGTCATCAGGGCCTGTGATATCATTGCTGGGCTACTTACTGTGGCCTGAGCAAAGGAAGAGCATCAGAAGGAAAAAGGCTGTTTTTCTGAGTGCATCTCAGAAGAGCACATCTGGATCACTTAAGCTGTGGAGCTAGTGCCACTTGGTGCAAGGGTGTTTGGGGACACAGCAGCGACAGGATCCACCAGGATTCTAGAATGGGCTGTGAATGATGCACATCAACCCCAACAGTGTCCAGAAGGATAAAGAAACAACGTTAAGAGAATGCAAGTTGGGCATGGTAACATGCCTGTAATCCCAGTACTCAGGCCAAGGCAGGAGAATCTCAAATTAGTCTAGCCTGAGAGAAAACTCCCCATACTGGGTCAGTGGAGGGGCAGCTGTCAGCTGTGTTGTATATATATGCTTGACTGAGCTGGGCACTTTTTTTTTTTTTTTTTTTTTTGGTACGGGGGATTGAACTCAGGACCTTGTACTTGGAGGCAAGCATAGTGCCGCTGAGCTAAATTCCTGGCCCTTAGCTGGGCACTTATTACCACTGCCAAGTGGATGGTTAAAAGTATGATTATTTCTAAATCCTGACTGCTGTATAGCCAGGGCAGAGCTACTAGAGCTACTGATCAAAACTAGAGCACTCACCAGATTTAAGATATAGTAGGGTTTGAGGAAGAGTAAAGGACTGGATCGGAACATTTTTGTTTTTAATCAAGAGGATATTTCAGCTTTTTCTTGGGCTCAACATGGGCCTCTAACTACCAGTTATGGGTAGTTATGGCCTCTGCTTACTCACGTGCTAAGGATTTCCTAAGTGATGTTGCTAGGCTGCTCTGAGCCTTTTTCTAAAGAGCCCAGGCAGTTGGGAGGGGGAACATACCAGGAAAAAGTGAAGCACAATCATCCATCCCCATCCTCCATCCAGGGTTTGGTCATCAGGTTGGGCCTTCTCTGCTCTCTTCAGCATGATGTTTCCTGTATTAATCGCAAAGAATCTGTTAAGAAACTATAAACTTTTAATCTTCATTTTTCTCAGTATATAACCCCACTTGTACTGTCATTTTTCCCACCCCCTTAATTAAGTGAAGTCTCCCTGAAGCAACCAAAGACTTAGTTAACTGCAGGGCTTGTGTAACATCAACACTTAGGACCCTTTTTCTCAAATCCTCAGCTGCAAGCCAGTTCTAGGGAAAGATGTATCTGGGCAGACTGTAGAGCAGTAAGGGAGGAGAACCTTGGTATTAGGAAGTCCTTTGCAAAGTATCTGCTAAATTGTAGCTATTCTAAGGGACTGAGTAAACAATAACTGCAGTCCTTAAATGGATTCTGGATTGAAAAGATGGGAAGTACAACTGGGGAAACCAGAATGTGAACTGTGCAATAGAGTGTGCTGAACTGATTAAATCTCTTGGGTAGAGTGGCAATTTTAGGGTTCTGTAGGAAACTTGTTTAGAAATGCTAAATTACTGAGGAGCGAAGTGTCATAGTGTCTACTACCTTATAAAGCAGTAAAACACCATATAGTGTAATATATATATATAGTACATATATATGTATAGTATGTGTGTGTGTGTGTGTGTGTGTGTGTGTGTGTGTATAATGAAAAAAACGTGAAAGTTCTGAGAAAAGTACAGCATTCGCTATTTCCCAGTGTCAGCTTGAAGGCAGGCTGTTTCTGGAAAGGAGAATCAGCCAGAAGTGTGGTGCAATGGCTGTCCAGAGCAGGCTGAAAGCAGAGATGCGGGTTGTTCCAGACCTCTTGAAAACAAGCAAAACACACTACCCCTTTTCTACCTTACCTTTGATGTGGTTTTCAGCAAAGGAGTCTCACACACCAGTCACAGCAATTTAGAAGCAAAAATAAGTGATATTATTAGAATATTACTCTTTTTCTAAAACATTTCATTCGTTGCCCTGTGAAAACAAGTGAGCATTGTAGAACGAGAGCAGAGCTGGTTTAGGCACTCCAGTGGTGGACTTTACTTCCTGAGAGGAAGGGGAGAGGCTGAAACTTGAGTCTCAGGCCCGCCCCACCCCCTGTTCTTCAAAAGGTAGACATTTTCACTGTCGGGTCAAAAAGTAATTGTTAAGTAAACCAAAGGGAAAATCCTTCCGGTGACTGCTCAAAGCTAGGAGATGGGACTCCAGCATTCCAATCAATACATGTGCCTTAAGTTCCTTATGAGACTGAAGACTTGCTTATTTTGGAAAAGAAATATACACTTCCTTGACCACAAAGTAATAGAGCAAGCTTGGGCCATAGCTCAGTGGTAGAGCATGTGCCTGTGTTTGGCCCTGGATTTGATGATCCTCTGTGCACACGCACGTGCACGTGGCAGTTTTCCCCAAACTCAGCCCGTGTGTGTGTGTGTGTGTGTGTGTGTGGTTTTTTTCATTGAACATTGTGGTTACTCGTGTGGAGCTTCAAGTCTCATTTTGTTCTTTTGATACCAGCTTACCTTAATTTCAGATGCCTCCCACAAGAGATGTGTATATATGTATATATGTGTGTATATATATATATATATATATATATATCAGTAATTTTTGATAAAACATTTTTCTTATTGCATTTTAGAAATAATTAAAGTTGAATCTCTTAGAAAATTAGTGAGATAATTCAATTTTTATATTCCCATTTCCTTCCTCTGCCCCTCCCACCACATTCCAAAAAAATAAATAAATAAAAATAAAGAGTCAACAGGAAATTGCTTTCATCTCCCAGCACCGACATTCCAGCTCTTAAGCCAGACTGTATTTTAGGCTAAAGTGTGTTTTTCTTATTTTATCTGGAAAATCTTCACGTTTATGAATGTTCCCTGTTAAAAAGCAAGGGTGTTCTCAGCATCTAAAGCCAAACTCTGTAATGTTTAATCAAATATTTCTTTGATTAAAGTGCTTGCAGAAGGACAGTTTTTAGACATTTAAGAGGATGCTCTGAATAGGTAACCAAGAGAAGGTCATGCAGTTTCGTAGTGCTGATGTTAGGGATCAAATAAACATTTCAAGGGAAGGCAAAACTCAAACAAAGGGAATGTTTTTTAGTCTGAGCACCACCACACCCAACTTCACATTATGATTAAAGTCCTACTTTAAAAAAAGCAACAAGGCAGTGGTGGAGTTTGAAGTCAGCCTGGGCTACATAGCAAGACTCAAAAACTGAAGAGCAACAAATGTGCCACCAAAAAATTACAGTGGTCCCACAGATGTTTAAGAACGTATAATTAAAGAGCTGAGAAGCCACGGTAGTGCACACCTGTAATCCCAGCACACCAGAGGATAAGGCAGGAGGGTCACAAGAGTACAAGGCCTCACTGGGCTAAATAGTAATTTCAGGGCTTGAACTTCATAGCAAGACCCTGTCTCAGAAAACACTAAAACAACAAAAAACGAACAAATGACATGAAATGAGGGTAAGCTTTATATATTGATAGTTCTGATTCCCAGGGCTGGGATCAAGTTTGCAAAGTGATGGAAGAGGCTTAAGAGGTTTGCAAAATCCTCAGTGCTGAGTTTTTAAATATCATGCACATAAATACATTAATAGGAAACTGAGGTGTAGTGGAGAATGCAGATTTGGTTAGAATTGCAACTGTGCCATTTTTTTAAGCCTCACTACCCTCATCAAGTTACCTTCTTTGAGTCTTGTTTCCAAAGCTAAAATATGGCTAATTCCATTTTGCAAGGTTGTTTCAAGGATTAACAATACTTATGAAAGATGACTGTTATTTACAGAAGTGCTCCTGGTACTTCATTAAAAATTGCTGTTAGTCAGATGGGGCCTAATAGCAAGAGCAAAGAATTAAACCATTTAGTGATAACATTTTGGCATCTGGACTCAGTTGACTTAATAAAGCTTATAGGTTCTTTAAAGATAAATAATTCCCTCAGCCTCTCACCTTCTAACTTTTGGCCCTAAAGCTATTTGACAAGAATGCAGCAGGATTTCCTAAGTCACCACTGGTAGCCTCAGGGAAGTCAAATAAGTATTTTTTGCGACTTAAATACAGTATTCTCTGGGATATTTTTTTTGGTTGAACCCTTCCCTGTCCTTGTGTAGAAGTTAACACACCTAGCTTGAGACTCCTATCCTTTGAAAGCTCTGCTTACAAAATTGACCTCAGGCTGGGTGTGGTGGTGCACACCTGTAATCCCAGCACTCAGGAGGCTGAGGCAGGAGGATCGCTGTGAGTTCAAGGCCACCCTGCGCTACATAGTCAGTGAGACCCTGTCTCAAAAAACAAAAACAAAAACAAAAACCCAAAATTAACCTCTGGTTGGCATCTGAGAACTTGGGAGAGTTCCCTAAATGTGTGCAGACACTATAGTTTGTGCTGAATTGTTGGTTATCCTTCTCAAAGTTTGGTTAAGTGTAAGGCAGAAAGTGCTTATGTGATGATCAGCCCTGCTTTGGCATTTCATGTGTATGGTAATTCATTGCTGGGGGAATGTAGTGCTTATTGTATGGCTTCACTGAAAGTGGAACTTGAAAGCTCGGGCCTGATTTTTTTTGTTTTGTTTTTTGGTATTGGGATCAAACTCAGGACCTTGTGCTTGTGAGGAAGGCAGTGGAACCACTGAGCTACATTCCTGTCCCTGGGCCTTTTTTCTTGACTTTGTCCCATCCACCTTTTCCTTCTGTTTTCTCTACGTGAGTACAAGGAAATAGTCCTTTTGAGTCTAATGACTCCCCAAACTTAAAGGACTGTTATTTGTCTGGGTTTTCAAGGACTGTTTGTCAGAGCCAGAACCAATTGGTACTAGGGGGTGAGGATATTAAAACTGATATATTATGAGGCATTGCCTCACATTCTAGAGACTTTAAGCCCAAGTCAGCAAGGATAGTTGAGTGTGACCACTGTGCCTGCTCAGTCAAGTCATACAATTCTAAGCTTTTAAATATTTGGTTTGAGACAGGGTTTTGCTAGATAGTTCACACTTGCCTTGAACTATGTAACCCAGGCTGGCCTAGAACTCTCAGCAATCCTGTCTCAGCTTCCTGAGTTCTGGCATTACAGGTGTGCACTATCACACTAAGTTTTTCATTGTATTTGTATGATACCCACTCACACTGAAGATAACCTGCTTTACTGTCTACTGGTTCACATGTTAACGTCATCCAGACATATCCAGAAATATCTAACAAAGTATGTTGGTCTCAAGGTTTAGTCAAATACATAAAATTAACTACCATAGGAAGTCTTGGGAAACTCCATATAACCACACTTTAACCAATTCCAGCCTATTTTTTTCTAATCTAAAAAGGGCATTCATAAGACAGGACAAAATGAGATAAACACATGCAAATTAGGATGTCTAGTCTATGGCCAAAAAAGTCTGGCTCTTATGCTGGGGTAGGAATTGGAGATACATGAATGAGCAAGAGGAAGTTTTCCTCCAAAGAAAAAGTAAGCTTGGTCTACAGGTTAACCTTACACCTCCAACCTTTACTCTCATCTGCTTCAAAATCCATTCTGACAGGAAAAAATCCAGGATTGTTAAGCAGCTACTCGATTTGAGTTAGCCTGCCCAGCTTTCTAGCTTTTTCATTTCCTAACAGACAAAGCATTTATCACATAAATACCCTTTTTTTGCTTTATCCTTTCATTCCCATTTTTTCTGCCTAAAAATCCCTTATTACCTATCACAACCATCTATACTCTTTGGAAGCCCAGTTTATACCACAAGACTCTCTTGTATTAGTATATGTATGTGTGTGTGTGTGTGTGTGTGTGTGTATATATGTATCCATGTATTTGTCAGGTGTTTATTGTCTACTTAGTATCTACTAGGAAGTGTTCTAGATGCTGAGGATCCATCTGTAAATATGATAAAGCACATGTCCTCAAATGTGGATGTTAAACATATAGCATATGTCTGGAGTATGGCATACATATCCCATCTATGAAAGTACAAGCTCCAGGGCTAGAATCATGCCTTATTCCAAATCTTTATTACCTTCACATAGCACCTTATGTTGTGGATTTTTATACTCTGAAATGTCAAATTACTAATGAGCAATAGGCAGTGTATTCAGATTTAACACTGAGGTCCTTTGTGCCTGCCTGTGTACCATTCTGTTGAAAACTAAAGGCTAAAGAGAAGGCAACACTGACCTGTACTTTCATATGGTAAAAAGATTTTTTTCTGGCTAAATGTGCTTATTTCTTTGATGATTTGAGGGTTACAAGAGTACTGGCTCTAAATTGGAGTCCTGAGTCCAAATGACTATTAAATCTCTTAGTCTTAGTTTTACAAATATATGACAAATAAGAGTACCTGTTGTACTATATGAGAGATAAGTTTCTGGCATATGATAAACAGTGATATCAGCTATTATTGAGGAAGAAGAATATGCTTGATTTAAATATCCATGGACACTTCTGTGACACTCTAGGGCATTTCAGGAACCTGAAAGAGAAGTAGTTTTGGAACAGGTATCTTTTTGAAAAAAATTACAATTTGATAACTTGGAAGAAAAAGCATTTGAGAAGAGTTTAAAGAATCCAGAAAAGATGTAAGCTTCCCTCTACACAGATTTATTGAACTAAAAATTCTATATACAAAGTAACCTGGATCTGCTGCCTCAAGACATGATCCTTTCCTACTCATCTTGATAGGTTGGTCACAAAGCAACTTACTCCAAAATAAATAGAAAAATGCCCAGTACACATCAGATGAATGGCCTAATCACTGGAACTGTAATAGTTTTACAAGATGATTAACAAGTAGGACTGAGTCCCAATGAGAGGGTGCTGAGGAGCTGACAGGAGACATCAAGAGGCCATTTTGTGCACTGCCACCGTGATGCTATCATGTTTCTGAATCATAATGTTCCTGAAAGGCAAAGAAAAAATATTCAGTAAAATGTTAACCAGTAGGACTTAAGTGTAAGATTCAGAGATGTCTGATTTAAGACATGATTAAAATAACATGTATAGCCGGGGATTTAGCTCAAGTGGTTCGGTGGCCTGCCTCGCAAGCGCAAGGACCCGAGTTCGATCCCCGGTACCACAAAAAACAAAACAAAACAAAACAAAAAACCAAATAACATGTATAGAAGCAATATATGAGCACAATCAAAAATATTGGTAAATAAAATGTAACAATGAAGTTAATCCTTATCCTACTACTCAGATACTGTTACTGTTTTCCTGGTTCTTTTTCTTCTGCAGCATGGGTGATCCAAACCAAGGCCTTGCACATGCTATTTCCTGGTTCTTTTTTAAAATATGCATCTATACATATTTTTTTTTTTATAAATTGTTATCATACTGTACATGGTTTTGTGTTCTGAAGACCCTCACTTTGAATATCATTATTCTATTATTTTTAGAAGTTTCTATTCTTTGATTACTCTTCTTTGTTTTGGGTACCGGGGATTGAACTCAGGACCTCAAGCTTGCCAGGTAGATGCTGTGCTGCTGAGCTATATACATTCCCTGATTATAGTCTTCTTTTGTGCTATTGTTATTTTTCTTGGTTGATAGTTCATGAAAATACTTCATTATATGTCATCGTAGCCTGAAAGCACATTAGCTTTAGAGATCAACCTATCTGCTTCTGTGGTCAAAAGGGTGAGGAATCCCCTGCAGGAGTAATTTTTTTTTCTTTTTATTTAGTTTACTGGTACATTTTAGGTATACAGTACAGTTACATTTGTTATTGGGATCTTGTACCTTTACATGACGGGTCTTGATTCTCATTTTTTCCCCTTGTCCCTGGCCTCCCCTCACCCCCTCCTCCCCTCCCCATTTACAAACACTTTATTTCCATTTTTTCCTTTTCTCATATTTTTTATTTTCCCTTATTCCCTTTCCCCTACCCTTCCCAATTTCCCTACACTATTAACCCTTTTCTTCCTATTTCACATTGTTAATTATCTCATTAGGATCTTATGTACTATTATAGTTTTTTGCAGGAGTAATCTGACTAAGGAATTTATGATGAATATAGGACAGACACCCCAGTCAAGTTTCCCAGGGATATTTGTGCACAAAAGGGACAGGAAGGCATCTGGTATCTTCTTACCCATTATCTGATTCTAGACACACCACAGGAATATCAGTGGGGTCAGAGGTCAGTTTAGCTGCTTGCTGTGCCAGAACAGATATCACCCCAGCATGCTCATCTGATAGAGTCCCACGGCCTAAAAAAAGAGATGAAATCACTAATTGTACCCAAATAAGTATAGAGCTACAGAAGTGTCTCCCATTAAATTATTCACAAAAAGGTGGTTGGCTTGTAGTCTCTTGGATTAGGTACTGACAATGAACAATTTATTTCTCCCTCATACTGAGCTGGTTACATCATTGAGAAAGCCAGGCAACAGTTCTTAAATTAATAGTCATAAATGACACTCAGTTTTCAAAGTCATTCCCATCCTTAAACATCTTTTCAAGCATTATAAGAAAGCTGTAATTCAGGTCCATCTGAAATTCATTAATTTATAGGAATCTTATTGAAACTAAGAAATTTAGAGGTGAGACTGACAAAAAGCAGTCAACAATGGCAAGAGACTATGGGAAATCTGATTTCCTTTTACTGAGCTCCACCTCAAAGGACATAAAAGTCTACTCAAGTTCAACTGTAAAAGCACCTTGATAGCGTATGTGAATATTCTGTAAGCAATTATTTCTGCTACAAGAAGCTGCCTGCCTGTTTTCAACTATCAACAGATGATATATACAGAACCTAGCAGTCCCAAGATATGGAATGAATTCAATAAAATGAACAGGTATCATTTGGAGACTCAATTTAAAATAATTCAAATATCTTAGTGGAGACAGTTATTTCATAGTAGATCTACAAGGAACTTCTACTTTTTAAATACCAATACAAAGTTTCAGTTTTCTAATCTGAACTCACAAAAATACTCCAAGTGGCAAGGTAACAGAAGATAAAAGCTAGTAGCCCAATAGCTCCAAGTTGATTTCTGATGGAGGTTGGTGTGAGACACTTACAGCCCAGATTAAGTCCTTGTGAATCTGTACACAGGACTCCAACAATGGATGGATTCTTCATTCTAATTGGAGAACAAAGGAAAGGGGTATTAGATGAGAAAAAAAATTTAAATAACTATAACACAACTTTTCATTATCGCCCCCAAGAGAAAAGGTTGTCAAGTACTGTTGTACCTTAGAGGGCTGCAAACATAAGATCCAGTATTTTTGTCACCCTTGTTTTCAGTGCATGCTTTACTATATAAACTCTTTTAAAACAATGTTGGAAAAACTAAGGGAGCTGAGTATAGTAGTGTACAACTGTAATAATCCCAGCACTCTGGGAGGTTAAGGCAGGAGGATTGAAAGTTCAAAGCCAGCTTGGTCGATTTAGCCAGACCCTGTCTCAAAATAAAAAGTAAGAAAAGGGTTTGGGATGTAGCTCAGCTTAAAGGCTCTGGATGGAACCGCGGTATGAAAACAAAACAAAAACTAACGGCAGTAGTCTTCCAGAGTGTAAGTGAGAAGCTGAGAAACTCTGCTGGGAGGGTGGTGTCTCCCTGTAAATTTTATGCTTTTCTAATTTTGAATTGTCATAGATCTGAAAAAAGTGTAGGGGCCAACTTTTCTTCCTTAAGCACCAAGAAGCTGAAAAGATCACAGGGGAGAAGATACGTGTGTGTTTACACTGCAGGGCTCGACTCTGCACATCTGGTACATCCTTTCCAAAGGTCAAATCTGTGTCCCACATTCTTCCAACCAACTACCCTGACTGTACAGATGATTTCAAAAGGCGATTTGGGCCTGAGGAAGAGTGTAATCCTGCAAGATACTAATTCTGAGTTACTCGCCCTACTTCACAATCCCAGGGTAGAGCTCAGCCGCCCTTACCCCGTCCTAAGCACTCGCAGCACGCACTATTTGTTTCGCTCAAGTCTCCCACGCTGTGACCTCACGACAGGTCCAAGCAATCCCTACTACTCACGTATCCTCCAAGTGCTGCTCTAAAGTAGCTTCCATCCTGCCGGCAGACGTCCACTCTAACCCAGAATCCGGCATCCAGTTCCAACCTCCACTGCAGGCCTCAGTCACATGACAAGAGCTAGACGCGCCCTCGGACGGCGCCTCCAGAGGACCAAATTAATAGAGATCTTCATACGCCCTTTTTTTTTTTTTTTTTAACCCGGAAAACATTGCTCCGTAGCCACCGCACCGGGCAGAGTAGTATGGAGTTAGTAGTTCTGCTTCGTGTAACAGGGAAGCTGAACGGCGCCTGGCCCCTCAGTAAAATCCGGCTTCCTCAGGTTACTCCTCACCGGGAGAGAGGTCTGCACTCGAGCCTCGGGGCCAGAATTCCTGACCTGCCACTTTGTCTTGAGGATTTTGTTTTCGGTACCGGGATCAAACTCAGCACTTTGCGCTTGCGAGGAAGGCGCGGTGCCAACTGAGCTAAATCCCTGGATCAGTCTTGACGATTTTTAACCTTTGGATTTCGGTTCAAACTACTTCGAGCACTCGGTAGGGCCAGATCTTAAGTTTTATAGTAACCCGATGGGTCAGGGAGAGTCAGATGGGGGCGGGGGGCAAGCTGAGTGCTGAGAAAGTGTCAGATTTTTAACAAAGACATTGGTACTACTTACGACAAGGGCTTAGAAAGTTGGTGGGAAGAATGTGGCATTTAAAGCCTAACTTGTAAAGACTGGGTAGGACTTCTTAAAAATAACCTTAGCAATTTTTTTTTAAGAAAGGAAGGAAGCCATCTATAGCCTTACTGTTTTGAGATGATTGTTAATCCCTTGATCAGAATCTTTTTCAAATGACTGTCTTTGCAAATGTATACTTTCACTGTTTTTGTTTGTTTCTTTTTAAACAAAATTGACAGACTTACTGGATATATAATTCTGTAGCTGGATTTTTTCACTGAATTTAGAATAAACGTTTTTCAATAACTGAATATTCACTCCCTCCTTCACAATAGTTGCAATATATCCCATGTTATAATTACATTAATTTAACCAACCCTTCATTAATGCCTCGCATTTTCTTTTTGTGTTCGTCTTGGCTATTGCAATGCTGGGTGAGTATCCTTATAGCAGATATTTGTACAGTTTAAATTTTATGATGTTATCAGGTGGGGTGGCACATTCCTGTAACCCCAGCACACCGGAGGCTAGGGCAGGAGGATCGCTGTGAAGTTCGAGGCCAGCTTGAACTACATAGTGAGACTGTCTCAAAAAACAAACACCCACCCCCCAAAAAACCCAAAATAATTTCATAATATTAGAAATGGAATTAGTGGGTGAAATATGTGGTCATTATATTTTTAAAATTTTTTATTACTACATGGTGGCAGCACGTAATGTATTCATTTTGTAATGTCCTTCTCTGTGGTCATTTTTATTATTTATTTATTTATTTATTTCCGGTGCTGGGGATCAAACTGGAGATCTTGCCCTTGCCAGGCAGACACAACACCACTGAGCTACATCCCAGGCCCTCTTTGTGGTCATTTTAAAGACTTTTGATATATGTGTATTTACAAATTGTCTCCCAGAGAGGTGACAGCAATTTTCACTCATATCTGTAGCATTTTGATCAAAATGAGAATATATCCATAGGCTCTCTCATCCCCCACACACCTCTAGCCACCCCCGTATCGTCCTGGCTTTAAGTTTCCTCCAACACTCTTGCATTCAAGAGTCCCTCTTCTTTACCAAACTGTCATAATGAAACTTGCAGAATTTTCATTTCCTTAAAATTGTAGTGTGTTATACCCGAGGCATTTTGGATCCCGGCTCTAGAGAAGTTATGTTAAATTAGAGGTAACATATACAGATCTTGCAAACTAGAAAAGCAGTTTAAAACTGCCCTTAAAAGATAGTATAGCTAAAACTTGGAAATAGCCCATTTGCCCCTCAGTTGGAAACTGGATAAAGAAGATGTGATTTTTCTATAAAATGGAATACTACTCAGCCATAAAGAATGAGAAAATAGATTCATTCATAGGAAAATGGATACATATTGAAGATATACTCCTAAGTGAAATGAATAAGTCACACATGTGTAAATACCGAATAGTTTCTCTGGTGTGAATAAACTGCAATAATACATAAGATCCTAATAAGATTACTGACATGGTGAAATGGGAAGAAAAGGGCTAAAGGTGTAGGGAAGGTGGGATGGATAGGGGAAGGGTAATAGGGAAAAGAAAAAAATGTGAGATAATGAAAAGATGAAAATAAAGTGTTGGTAGATGGGGAGGGGAGGAGGGGGTGAAGGGAGGGCAGGGACAAGGGGAAAAATGAGAACCAAGACCTATCATGTAGAGGTACAAGATCCCAACAATGAATGTAACTGTACTGTATCCCTAAAATGTACCAATAAACTCAATTAAAGCTGAAAAGAAAAGATAGTATTGCAAGGGCTGGAGATTTAGTTCAGCAGTTCCGTCGCCTGCCTTAGCACAAGGATCTGACCTCCATCCCCGGTACCAAAAAAAAACAGTATGGGAAACTGGGTTTGGTGGTGCACACTCCAGCACTCTGGGAGGCTGAAGCAGGAGTATCACAAGTTCACGGACAGCACTGTGAGACTGAATCTCCAAAACAAAAACAAACAAGAGACTGTAAGTACTAACTACTTAAAGCAAAATTTATGCCAGTTGTCTGGGAATTTCATCCTGTTTCCGGCCAAATCAAACCCAAGGAAACTCGACATCTCATGCTGCCCTCTTGTGGTTCCATGCAGTAAAGCTTTGTTGGGCCGGGGCTCCCAGCTCTGATTTTCTTAAACCTTCGTAGCATTGTCCAAATAGAAATACAATGTGAGATACATTTGTAATTTTAAACCTTAGTAAATTTTAATAACATTTTATTCATTAAAGGTATAGCCAAAATATCATTTCAATGAACAGACACTTCTCAGATGAAGAAATAAAAATTTTATATGTCAATAAATATATGAAAAAATGTTCAACATTTGAGAGATGCAAAGTGAAATCACACGGAGATTCTGGCTATTATCAAGGAATCAACTAATAACAAATGCTGGTGGAGCTGTGAGGAAAAAGGATCCCTTCTCCATTGTGGGAGTGTAAACTGGTGGAAATCAGCACGGAGATTCCTCAAAAAACTAAAACTAGAGGTCGCATTTGAACCAGCTATTCCTCTTCTAGGTATCTTCCCAAAAGAAATGAAAGCATAATACCACAGAGATATATGCACACCCATGTTTATAGCAGCACAGTTTGTAATAGCTAAACCTTGGAAACAGCCCAGATGCCCATCAGCCATTGAATGGATAAAGAAGACTTTTTAAAATATATAATGGAGTACTATTCTGTCATAAAGAAGGATAAGCTTGAGACAGTTCTAGGTAGATGGATGCACCTTGAAACCGTACTCTTAAGTGAAATAAATGGGAAACATTTAAATACCACATGGTCTCTCTGGTGTGAGGAACCAGAAGTGTAAATAACTACTAAAATGTATAGTAGATATTGTGAAATAGGAAGGGAATGTTCAAGTGGGAAGGAGAAATATGGAGGAGGGAGGGAGAATGGAAAGAAGAAAAAAGGAAAAGAGGATAGCAGGAAAAATGGTAAAGCTATTGGAAATGAGGGGAAAGGGTTGAAGGGAGGGGGAGAGGAAAAAAGAATCAAGATAAATCATATGCAGGTACAAATTCCATGATGAATGTTACTATGTATATCTAAAATGTACCAATAAAATTCATTTTAAAAATATTTCAACATGCAATCAATAAAATGTAGTATTTTGCATTTTCTCCCATACTACGTCTCTAAAATCCAATGTACCAGCACCCTGGGAGACACTCAAGAGGATCGTGAGTTCCAGGTCAGCCCAGGTAATTTGGTGATTTAGAAAAGGATTTTAAAAAAGAAGAAGAAAAAATGGAAGGCAAACAAATGGAAACAAAACTTCTGTAAATAGAGAGGGGAAGAAGAGTTGACAGAAGTGCAGGGGAGTGGGGGGAAAAAAAGAATTGAGATGGTATTATGTTCAGGTACAAATTCTCCATGGTGAATGTGAGTGCTAAGTATGGCAAATATGTACTAATAAAAGTTTTAAAAAACTTTTTTCAGAGCTAGAGTTGTAGCTCAAAGCAAAGGCCCTGGGTTTAATCCTCAGTACTGTAAAAAAAAAAAAAAAAAAAAAAAAAAAAAAAAAAAAAAAAAAAAAAAAAAAAAAAAAAAAGACAGCAATGTATATTTTACATTTACAGCACGCTTCAGTTCAAACTAGCCACATTTTAAGTGCTGAGTAGGGGCAGTGGCTGGTGGCTACCATGTTGTCCAACATAGCTCCAGGGTATCACAGATTATCTCAAAGCAAAATCACTGATTAAAGGATTCTCAGAAAGTTTGATTACTTTCAAACTGCAGGGAAGATCTTTGAAGGGAAAAGTTTAGGAAGAAGATTCTAGCCGGCCCAGAGAGCCTCAGCATATCAGAAGTGAAGTAGAGGGGTCCGCTGTTTCATCCCGTCTCCTTAGCCTGGCTGTCCTGTGCCCCTGAGCAGGCAGAGGAGGGAGAGGAGTAGCACAAGAAATTGAGCGGTGCAGGTGGCTGGGTTGGTGGTTGCCGGAGGAATCTGATCCCTATTGTTTTCTGCTTTCATTAGCTTTTGGGGTATTTGATGCACCCCCTCTCATTCTGGGTCAACCTTCACACTAAACTGGGTTTAGCCTTCACACTAAGCTAAATCCCCGACCCTTTAACTTTTGTTTGTTTTTGAGGAGGCGAGAGACAGGGCCTTTCTAAATTTCCCAGGCTGGACTCAAATGCGGGATCCTTCTGCCTCAGCCTCCCAGGGTTCTGGAATTACAGATATGTACCACCATACCTTGAAATCATCCTTTATTATTATTATTTTTTTGAGACAAGATTTCAAGTGTATGTAGTTCAAGGTGGCCTTGAACTCACTATGTAGCCCTGGTTGACCTCAAAATCATGCCTGTTCCCCTGTCTCAGCCTCCGAAGTCCTGGGATTATACGAGTGCACCATCGTGCCTAGCTATTTTTAGTTTTGAATTCTGGTAACCATTTCTGAGGTGATAAAAAGAGGCCCAAGTCACCCACATTAGAGTTTGCC